GTTTCAAATCTCTTAATTTAGTTAATAGGAAAGAGAAAATAGTTCATCTCATTAGAGAAAACTGAGTGGAAGAGACATTCAGTTTTACTCTTCAATTTTTGAGTTTATAAATTCCAATAAGAAATACTTCTATAATATAAAAATTCGAGTATTTTACTCTTATTAATTTGTCTTAAAAACCCTTTTCATTTGTTTTTATTTTTTCAGTCCTGGTTGACATTTTCATGGAAACACCCATATGTAATTAATTTCAAAAACCAGCTCTAATTGGCGCATGCATTTTAATTGGTTGACGTTCGTATTAAGCCTCCTCCTCTATAAACATGTTGCTTTTTTTGTAAAAATTAGTCAGCAAACAAATTATATTATAACTAGAAGACCCCCGAATTAGCGGCAAGTTTTAAAATAATATCCCCCTGATAATACATAAAACAGGTAAATTTTTGTCACGTGTAAACAGGTGATTTCCAAAAAAATACCACCAAAATATTTTCGTGCCTGCAGTCCGTTGATTTTCGCACGTAAACAAGTGAACAAAAAACAACAAACCTGTTTTCGAGAATCGACTTCGGGTTCGTTTCATAACTAAAATGTAGCACGCCACGAACACATGACAAAAGGGTATATAAGTCGAGCGACGGAACCGCGTCCAAAACATTTCACTGAATGAAGTCAAAGTGTGCAGATCGACAAAATCAAAAAGCGACGAAATAAACATAAAATCTCTACTGGAGATTATACCAGTTAAAAATTATACATTCACAAACATATTTTTCTAATTTGTTTTCAAATACAAGTTAACATTGGTAAATTTTCCTAACCGATGTCAAATAAAGTTGTGTGTCAATGAATAACCGAGCAGACACCAAAGCGAAACTACTTAACAATTTAAGGTAAGTTTGAAGTTTCTTGTACATTCATACTCGTAACTACGTCCGCATACTTCTTTATCAATCCATGTTAAATGTTCTTAATTCAATTTCCTTTTAGCCTTTCCAAACATCTTTCATCCAAACAAGGCGGCTCGCGTACCACCAATTGTGGCAATCGTCTAGAATTTGCCTTACTTACGCTGCTACAAAACGTTCCTTGAATCTAACGCGCCGCAAACCTCTCCTTGCTGACTGATCATTGACCAGCCCGTCATCTCTCGTATTCTAGTTAGTCGGAAGTTTTTCTAGTACTTCATAGATTTTTCAAAGAAAACAAGAATCAAACCTTCAACAAAATGGTTCAAAAGCATCGTTCAGCTTCGAAAGCCACCTTAGCCAAGGATGTGAGTCCAATGCGCGTTATGGCGGTCAACAAGAAAGCGCTCGCCTCGAGTCCCGCCACCAATACGGCCGCACGCCTTAGTTTGCCTACAGCAGCAACAAGCAGCAAGAATGCAGACAAGTGGAAATACAACAACATGGTGAATAACCAACGTGAGCTCTTCAATAATTTGCATTTCTACTGAGTGAACCTGGGCTCGCTTCCTAGGGGACGCTAAAATTTAAATATGATTCTGCAATACTCATCATCCTTGTAAGATCTACAGCAAAAGTTCATTTTTCAATGGTTAAAAGGCATACGCATGAAGCCCTTTGCTTAATCATATTCTTATAACCTGTTATGAACTCACCAATATTCCACTAAGTAGCTCCGTTGAGATGCGGGGCTCATTTGCATTTTTAATCAAGTGAAAAAACTACTTAATTGATGCTGATACATCAAACCTGTATGCCATCAAGCGTAAACTTCAGTCTGAAGTAGACGAGATGCTCTAGAAAGTGTGCAGTGGAAAAGATCAAATTAGCTAAATAAACGTGTCACATGCAATGTGTGAGGCTGAATGTTGGTTTAATACCAGCACTTGGCGCCCAGACTCACACACTGTCGAATCTTCCGTGATGGCTCCAAAACTGACTCTGGGTGAGTATATGGGGTCTTCATCGGAGTTAATGGTAATAAGCTTCACTTTTCTCTTGTGGATTATGCTTCGGTCTTCCACGCTGAGGTATTTGCAATCCTCAAGGTCATCGACTACATGGTGGAAAACGGGTGGAGGGGAAGGATTTTTCGTATCTGCAGTGACAGCCAAGCTGCACCTAAGGCATTGGCCAGCACTACAACTACTTCCAAACTAGATCGGCAATGTAAGTCTCGACTAAATTGCTTTACTCTGGGTGCCAGGTAATGAGACATCTGACCATTTTACCATAAATGGCTCAGACCAGGCATTGCTTGGTCCGCCACCAGTTATATCACTCCCGCCTTCGGTCATCGAAGCCACCATCATGTAGGTGTTTCGTTGTTATTTAATTTTGATTATTTTTTTATAAAATATAGTTCATTCTTTAACACAAACCGTGTAAATCCAAGTTTCCAAATTTGTGCAATATTAAAAAAAATCAACAAACTTTCGTGCAAATTTCGATCTTTTTTAAAAATTCTAAAAAATCGATCGTAGTTTTTAGCCATTTGAAACTTTTACTCTATTCTACTAGAATTCAATGGGCTACAAATCTGCATACTCAGAATCTAATTAAAAAACTCGAAATTTTTACGAAAATTTGTTGAATTTTTTTTTAAATTGTTATAAATTTTTAGGGCAGTGGCACTCGATTGGTACATTTATACAGATTGGTACATTCTTATATTGGGCTATTGGTACAAAATAATAAAAATAGGAACATTTTTTTTTTTGTAGTCAAAAGATTGGTACAATACAGCGATGTTCTATTGAAAAATTTCAACAAATTAATTTTCGTAATTGGGATAAAGAAAAATATTTAGGATACGATTTGCACCAAATTTTGGCAAATACCCAATCTTGTGACACTGCCTTTGAACTTGTATTTATACATATGTTGTTTAGGAATGAACTATAAAAACTAACCAAAATTAAATAACAACAAAAATATTATTTTAAAACTTGTGAAAATTTGGTGCGGCTATAATTTTTTCGACAACTGTAGGTACATTAGACTGCATCACCAAAAAAAGTTGCAGTTTTTCCGGCGGGATTACCAAACCTAGTATATTTTAAGACTTCTACCAAAATATTTCGGAAAAATATTAAGATTTACGTGAGCTGGACCGGTTTGAAAATACCTCTAAAAATGGATTTTGTTATGAATCAAAATAGTTTCTTAAAGGATTTTTTGTTTTGGAAAAAATCCCCTCAGATGACAAAACAGTTTAAGCTAAAAAAATCTACATAAAAATATTAAAAAATTGTATCAACGGAATCATAATAATAAGATTTTTGATGCTGTTTTTTAACTTTTTTCAAAAATTTGTGTAAGAAAAACTGGAATAACTGCTCCAAAACTTTACCGATATAGACTTATGAGGTATCAGTGGAAAGGTATTTTCCCGCCCTTTTTATTCCTTTGCAAAAAAACTCATTCACGTCCCAATTTTTTCTTTATTCAATACCAACGCATCTTAATTCAACATGGAATGACACTCGTTTCTTAACTTCCTCTTTCATTCTTTGAATGAGCTTATTCGCAAAGAAATTAAAAGGGTGAGAAAATACCATACCAATGATACCTCATAAGTCTACATTGGGAAAGGCTTGGCTGAGTTATTTAAGTTTTTCTTAAACCAGTCTTTGAAAAAAGTGCAAAAACAGCATCAAAAATCTGATTATTATGATTCTGTAGAAATTTTTTTTTAATACTTTTATGCAAACTTTTTAAGCTTAAACTGTTCAGTCATCTTAGGTAATTTTTTCACAAAATATTAAAAAAAAAACTGTTTTTATTAATAAAAAAGCTCGATTTTTGGAGGTATTTTCAAATCGGGCCAACTCACTTAAATCTTAATATATTTCCGTGATATTTTAACGGAAGTCTTAAAATATAATAGATTTTACAATCCCAGTGGAAAAATAGTACCGCTTTTTTTTTGTATGGGGAGTGATGCAGTCTACTGTACATAAGTTAACTGATTACTCGCCGTGTATCATAGTAGCACAATGCCACTAAGTGCATTTTAAAATTTTCAGGCAATAGCCTCATGCAATTATCGATTATATTTTTTGTTTTTTAATATTTTTATTGAGCTTTGTACCACGATTGTTTGTTAGGAAAAATTGAAAAAGCAACAAAGTCTAAGCGGTAGAAGTTATAGCAGCTATTTCGGAGATCA